TACTTTTAGTGCAAGAACACAATGTACAAGATGTTAAGAAACTTGATGTGCTGCTTGATTTCTTTGAAATATTGATAAATCCAACGACCTTGTTGAAAGGTGGTACGATGATATTGATTGCTAAGCGAGCCCACATCAAGGTTCTTAATACTGAAATGGATGATAATGGTAATGTTTTATATGCTAGGATTTTCTTTTTTGACACAATAATTCCTGTACTTAATGTGTATGCTCCCTCTGGCACCCGCAGGAAGAAAGAGAGGGAGGACTTGTTCTCTAACGAGTTATTATATTTTTTCAGAAATGATACGCGTAACGTTATTTTTGGTGGCGACTTTAATTGTGTCACTTCTATGAGAGATTGTAGCATTCAGTCGAACGCATGTGTATCTCCTGCTTTAATTACACTTTTGAAATGTATTGGTCTAAAGGATGCAAATAGCATTAACGGAGGTGTATATGAATACACATATGTTCGCCAGAATTATGGTTCTAGGCTTGACAGATAATATATGCACTCGTTCCATGATAAAATTAGTTCTTGCAATACTGTTCCGGTCAGCTTTTCAGATCACTGTATGGTTGTGGTGAAGCTTGTTATTGACGATCAGGTTAAAGTGGGGACAGGGTCATGGAAGCTCAATTGCAGTCTGTTGCAGAGTAGAGATGTAATTGATAATTTTCAAGTATTGTGGGAACATCTGGTTGGGCAAAAACGTAAGTTCAGATGTCTATTGGAGTGGTGGGACATGTGTAAAGTTGCATGAAAAAGTTTCTTCGTGAAAGTATCCAAACGAAAGGCTGCTGAAAAATATGGTCTGTTAAACTTATTCCAACAAAGACTAAAACAACTTTATGTAAAGGTCAATATGGGATTAGACAAGTATGAAGAAATTACCATTTTAAAAGACAGAATTAACAAATTGAGGGATGAAATATCTGAAGGAGTCAATGTTCGCCTCCAGATTAATGATAGGATGTATGGTGAAAAACTCTCTCCTTATTTGTTAAGTAAAGTCAAGAATAACAAGGGTACAGTACTTGTAACTAGTATTAAAGCAGGTGATGGGACGGATATGACAAATACGGATGGGATTGTATGTTATGTATGGGGTGAATTAGAGAAATTGTACAAAAAAGTGAACGTGGACCAAGGTATGCAGGAGTATTTCCTTGGAAAATGTACACGGGTTTTAACCCAGGATGACAACACGTCATTATTGGCAGATGTAGATAAGCAGGAAGTGTAGAGTGTTGTCAAGAGTTTAAAGAAGGGTAAATCACCTGGCTGTGATGGGTTCCCGGCGGAATTTTATTTCTATCTATGGGATGTCATTGGTAAAGACTTTGTACAAGTGGTGCAGTATAGCATACAGCATGGGAAGCTTAGCATGTCACAATCTCATGGGATTATTAAGATGATACCTAAAACGGGTGATTTGCATATTCTAACGAACTGGAGGCCACTTTCCCTACTAAACCAGGATTATAAAATAATATCGAAACTGTTGGCAAGTAGACTTAGGATTGCAATGGATAAACTTATATCAAAGTTTTGTGGTGTGCCTGGAAGATCTATAATCAATTGTAATAATGTAATTAGGGATGTTGTGTATTATGTGTCTGAGAATAATGTTCCTTCCTCCATGATAAACCTCGACTGGTCGAAAGCCTTTGACCGTGTTGATGTTCAGTTTGTATTAGCAATATTGGATAGGGTAGGAGTGGCACGAGAATTTATTGATTGGATCCGTATGCTTTATAAAGAGTGTCGGAGCAGCGTCTGTATCAATGGAGTCTTAAGTAAACCTTTTTCAGTTGAACGATCTGTACGTCAGGGATGTCCCCTTTCAATGATTTTGTATGTTATATTTCAAGAGCCACTGTACTTGGCAATAAAAAGCAATGACTTTATTGTTCCACCTCGTCTTCCTAATGCAATGACACTTCCTGTTGTTGGTTATGCAGACGATACAACTATTTTTGTGTCGACAGAAGACTCGGTGGTGAATGTTCAGAATGAGTTAGACAACTTTGAACGAGCGACAGGTGCTGTTATTAACAAGAACAAAACGTGTATGATGGGTCTTGGCAGTTGGTCTTATAAGGTTAACTGGACAGGTTCATGGTTCAAGGTTGTGGAGTCTATTAAAGCTCTTGGGATTTGCTGGTGTAAAACATATGAAACAACATTGGTTACGAATTGGCAAGTACTATGTGGGAATATAATAGTTGCAACGAATATGTTGTCAAATAGGAAATTGACCCTGTTTCAGAAGGCTGTAATAATCAATTGCAAAATTTTGTCTAAAGTGTGGTATTTGTCTCACAGCTTTCCCATAGACAAGAAAAGTGCTATAGAGATTGACAAAACTATTTTTAGATATGTATGGTATGGTAGATACCAGCCAATTAAACGAACTACCCTATGTAAAGGTAAGAAAAACGGTGGAATAGGAATACTGAATGTGTACCATAAGTCATTGGCAATCTTATGTGTTACTTTTAGAAAGGAGATAATGCAGAGGGATAGTGTAAATGCACTAGGACATTACAATTGTAAATTACGAGGTTAGCTATTTGATACATATGCCAGAGTATACTGACCTTGCTTTTATTTCACCGCACTTTTATTCATGTGCAATTGATGTTCTCAGGCAGATTTGTAATATTGAAGGTTTTTTAATGATGAACAGTAAACAAGTGTATGATGTTATACTACCAAATATAGTTCCTAGAGTAGAGGAGGCATATCCACTCTTTAGCTGGCAAGTAATATGGGCAAACCTTCATGTTAAATTTATTGCCCCAAAACAACGTGAGCTATTGTATCGCTATATTCATGAGACCCTCCCTACTAATGATAGGTTGTTGATGTTGGGCATTAAAGACGACAATAGGTGTGACCAATGTACTGAAATTGAGAATAATATGCATATATTTTATTTCTGTAAGCAGAAAGTTGTTCTTGTAAACTGGATTAGAGACACTCTTAAAGATTTATGTGGACCAAGTATTAGAGTGGAGTTAATGAGGGTTTTTAATGTTTCATATTGACATAAAATGCAAGAAAATTAGGAATACAATAATTATGTTACTTTCTGATTACATTTTTTGTGTGTGGATAGGCAGGCAGGAAGGTTACTCAGTAGACAAAATATTGAAGTTCTTGCGAGGCAGGATCAGGTATAACATTTGGGGTTTAAGGCTCATGCTCGGTGATGATATAGAAAATTGGTTTACTGAGGCTTATATAAAATATATATAAATGTAATATTTTCCCCTGTATTTTAATGTAAGTTTATTCTTCAATTTTTGTAACTCGTTTATAGGTAAATAAGTATAACATTCAGGGTTTTCTAAAAGATCTTGTTCTGTACTACTGACACACTTGTTCACTAAGAATTGTAATGTATAATTGCCTTGTAACACTTATGTATATGTAACTTATATTGTATTTTTTTAAATAAAGATAAAAAAAAAATAAGACGTTATCTGTTCCATATTGTAGTTAGAAATTTAACTCATACTTATTGATATCCAATGATTTATGAATATTATTATAATATTATCGATATACTAACTTTATAGAATTTAACCCCCCCCCCCAAAGGATGCCTTAGGGATTAACTCTAAATTTAATAGAAGTTTTACAGTTCACTTCTCTAAATTCATTTTGAATTTATTATTGAATTAATTACTTGAGATCCATAGATCACTGGTTCTCTGAGCCCATACAATTTTTATTGTCTTCATAACTTTCTGAATACAATTATATGTTACAGTGAATTCCCCCACATCTCTCTCTCTTTCTTGCTTCTATTCCACTTCTCTCTCTCTTCTTCTTCTTCTTCTTATCTCTCTTCTCTCTCTCTTCTTCTTCTTCTTCTTATCTCTCTTCTCTCTCTCTTCTTCTTCTTCTTCTTATCTCTCTTCTCTCTCTCTCTTTCTCTCCCCTCTCTCTTCTCTCTCTCTCCTTCTGTCCTCTCTCTAATCTTCTCTCTCTCGATCTCCTCTTACTCTCTTTCCTCTCGTCTCTCTCTCTCCTCTCCCCTCTCTCTCTCTCTCCTCTCTCTCTCTTTCTCTCTCTCTCTCTCTTTTTCTTTCTTCCTCTTCTTTCTTTTTCTTTTCTTCTCTCTTCTTCCTATTCTTGTTCTCTCTCTCCTTCGCTCTCTCTCTTCTTCTTCCCTCTCTCTCATCTCTCTATTCTCTCCTTCACTCTCTTTTCTCTTCTTCTTATCTCCCTCTCTCGCTATCTCTCTCTACCTTCCTCTCGCCTCTCTCCCAATACCTTCTCTCTCTCTCTCTTCTCTTTCGATGTCTCCCATATCTCTTCTCTTTCTCTCTCTCATCCTCTATCTCTTTCCTTCTCTCTCAGTTCTCTCCTCTCTCTCTCTTCTCTCTCGTGTCACTTTCCTCTTTGTCTCTCTCTCTCTCTCCTATCTTGCTGTTTCTCTCTTCTCCTTCTTTCTTTCTTTCTTTCTTTCTTAGTGCAATATAGATAATTATTCCTAATAATTGCAATAATTATTGATTAGAATTTTAGTTAAGTGAATTAACGTTTTAAAAATCTTTGCTCCAAAACGTAATGTCATGACATTTAAAATACGTTCAATTAAAACGTTTTGACTTCACGTTTTATACTCGTCTTGACAAATTCTCAAAACACGTAATTTAAAACATGCCCAAAACAATGAAATGTCGTTTTTAGCGCGCTTAGAAAACGTGAAAACGTTAGGTGGGAACACGTCCAGAGGTCCAACATGAGGCGAGGATTAGGGTGGACCAGAAGGCAGCACTATGCCTCAATGTGTGCAGGGGTCACCACGTCCAGAGGTCCAACATGAGGCGGGGAGCAGAGCGGACCAGCAGGCAGCACTATGCCTCACTGTGTTCAGGGCTCAACTCAGGAGAGAACATGTCTTAGTGCTCTGGCAGTTGTTACTGCCATTCTTTTAATACACCATGGAACAGAGAGAAGGACAATAATACGACTTTCATAGAGCTTTGAAATCATTCATTACTGCACCAAACTCTTTAATTTTGTATATTTTGTAGTCTTATAAAATTAGTAAAATAAGTAACATATTTTCTTTCAAATAATTATTAAATATGAACGAGACGTATTTTACCACTTGAATTAAAAAATTACACCATACAACCTGAGGCACATGTGTATACAAATCCTTAATATTAAAAAATAAGGCATTGTTGAAATACGAAAACAAAAGGAATTTCCACAATTAAATGTATAATTACGTCCCAAAAGTCATAAGCAGTTACAATTGACTGCAAGAATTAAATAAAACTAAAAATTCTTAAAACTCCATGTTTAAGGAAATATGGTTAAAGTTTATGTTAACTATGAAAATATGGTTTTTAATAACAATAAAACCTAACCGAAAATTAAAAATTTAAGCCCCATAAATTACTACCATGGTCAAGTAGAACTGAAGATAAAAGAGTTAACTATGCTCTTGGAATATACGAATATGAATATAGGCAAGGAATATACGTATACAAACGAACTGAGCATCATTCTTAAACTAAATCTTCAAAGTTCTTCATCTCCTCGTAGCACAAATAGCACAACATCTCCTTCCTCCTTCCTTAAGGATGAGCAAGCCTGCCGGCAAACAAGATTAATCCCGAGTGCTGATCTCTGATGATGAAGAAGAAGGGATGGTCAGCAGTGAAGCGCGGGGTGGGCGGCGGCAGACTTCTCCATTTAATTACCACAGCTAAAACAGTGGAAAAACACGATGACATACCACACGGCTGTTTTAGTAAACTCAAATGATCATGTACAACACTATACAATTAAAGTGTATGAGCCTATACTCTTTATAGCTCACAGTATACGAGCATATACTACAGTATATCCCACATCATATAATTATATTCTACAGTATATAGATTGCAGCATATGCTCATTTACTAGATTATATATCACAGTATATATGATTATATAAAAACAATGTATCAGTAAATTTACATATAATACAGTATATATCTCACAGTATTGAGTCTTACTCGGCAGTATATAACACAAATTATATTGTCATATATAACAGCATATAGCTTACATAATATAATCATAATAATTCATTGTGTCGGGGGACTGGAAGCCAGAGTGTATTCAAACACGATAGGCTATTATCGAGGTCCCTTTCCCCACCCCAAGGTCGAAATACTGACCCCGCCCAGGATGCAACCCCACTACAAGCTGACTTAATTCCTGAGTACCTACTTACTAGGTGAACAGTTTCATTAGGTGAAAGGAAATGTACTCAATCATTTCTGTCCCTCCCTGGATTCAAAGACCTTATATGGTTACATAACTAGCAATATGTAAACATACACAAACTTAATTGGTCAGCCTGTGTGACTGTCTAAAGAAAGCGAGATGTATGGAGCTAGTTTCACCCAACTTTCCAAGATTACACATGGGGTTGAGTGTCATAGGCCAGTTGGGGTCGGCCCCAGTACCAACCTTTAAGAAATATCTGATCTATAGCGACCCCAAATGATTATCATTCAGTTTGAAATTGGAGATGTGTTTTATGTTGAGTTTTCAAACGAGTTTCAGTGCTTTATAATATTGGAATTGTTGACAGAGAGAGAGAGAGAGAGAGAGAGAGAGAGAGAGAGAGAGAGAGAGAGAGAGAGAGAGAGAGAGAGAGAGAGAGAGAGAGAGAGAGAGAGAGAGAGGGGGGGGGGAGGATGATAGGGGAGATGGAAGGAGATTGGGGAGAAGAGAACAGAGAGGTGAAAAATGGGGTGATTAGGAAAGAGACGGAGAGAGATGAAAAGAGGGGAAGCTGGGGGATGGGTAGGATGAAGATGGGGAAGGGAAAGAAGGTGGACATTAGGACATGTGGAGGGATAGAGATCCAGGCACACCTGGGAGCCCCATCTAGTACTACATAATATACATCACTATATGTATGTGATTCCAACAAATAGTTGAAAGAGTGGCAAATGCTTTTTAATATCTAAAAATGCAAGACCTTGCATGTGAAGCATAACAAACTACATCACAACTATCAAATTAACAACATTACTTTACAGGAGATTCATGAAGAAAAGGTCCTTTGAGTCAGAGTTCATCATTCACTGAAAGGTCCACAAGTGGGAGCTGTAGTAAAGGAAGCTAATCAAATCCTAGGAATAATCAAGTGTATCTTTGTCATGAAGGAAAAAAGGTAGTTATTCCACTGTATAAATCTCTTGGATTACTGTATCCAAGTAAGGAGATGTCATCTTCAGAAAGACACAGCTTATTCAGAGAAAGTGCAATACCAGACAACAAATACATTCCAGAGCTAAGTTATCTTTCGTACCATGAACGGTTGAGGGCCACAGGGCTAACAACACTGCAAACTAGGCATGACAGGGCAGATCTCACTGAAACTTTTAAAATACTGAACGATTTGGAGGATGTTGATCCAGATAACTTCTTCGAAAGGTCAGATGTAACACATATAAGGAGCAACAATTTCAAGGTCAACAAGCCACAATGTAGGACTGAAAATAGGAGACGGTTTTTAACCCACAGGGTTATACACCCAAGGAACTGCATACCCGCAGAAGCCACAAATTTTAAAAACCGTTGAATTTTAAAATCAAGCGAGAAAAAAATAATCTAATGGGTAGACCTTTGACAAGCCGCCGGTTTCCTGTCCTCGTCGAGGCCACTGGAGTTAGTGGCCCTCAAATACATTCAGGTAAATTCAAATGTAGTGAAATAAAAAATACTGAAGCTAAACGATATAATGGTTTAAGATGCCAGATATCGCTCGCTGCTCTCACGGAGATGAGACTCGAAAATTATATATATTTTTTTTTTTTTTTTTGAGATATATACAAGAGTTACATTCTTGTACAGCCACTAGTACGCGTAGCGTTTCGGGCAGGTCCCTGGAATACAATCCCCTGCCGCGAAGAATCGTTTTTTCATCCAAGTACACATTTTACTGTTGCGTTAAACAGAGGCTACAGTTAAGGAATTGCGCCCAGTAAATCCTCCCCGGCCAGGATACGAACCCATGACATAGCGCTCGCGGAACGCCAGGCGAGTGTCTTACCACTACACCACGGAGACTGCGGAGATTTTAAATGAGGTCGTATTCCCGAGGGGCTACTTAGTGTGGAAACGGGACAGAAAAAATAGGAAAGGATGGAGGAGTTGTCTTGCTGGTGAAAAAAAATCTATCTTGCGGTTACCTTGCGTTGATTTCCAGGGTCAAGGTCCCTACTGCCCGGTCTATGATCAGGCCTCCTGGTTGATGATCTGGTCACCCAGGCTCTTGGACGCGGTTGTTCGCAGCCTGACATATAAATCACAGCCTGGTTGATCAGGTATATTTTGGAGGTGTTTATCGAGTTGAAAACTGTGAGGGGGTCGGCCGGTTATGCCCCTTATGTGTAGTGGAAACGTGTTGAACAGTCTCGGGCCTCTGATGTTGATAAGAGTTCTCTCTCAGGGTACATAATGCATCTCTGGTTTTCAACGGGTGTGTTCAGCACATCTTGCCATGCCTTCTGGTCTCATGTGATGTTATTTATGTTTGCAGATTTGGAACCAGCCCGTCTAATGTTTTCCATGTGTAAATTATTATGTATTTCTCCCCATGCGTTCTAGAGAATACAGATTTTGGCATTTTAGTTTAATTTAGATGGATTCTAGCAGTAAAGGATCTCTGTACGCTCTCCAAGTTAGCAATTTCACCAGCTTTGAAAGGGGCTGTTGTTGTGCAACAGTATTCCACTCTAGAGAGCATTGGCGTCTTGAAAAGTATCATTGGCATGGCATCTCTTTTTTTTTAAAGATTCTTGTCATTTTTCTTGCAGTTGCAACGGCTACTTTGTTGTATTCTTTAAAGGTAAGGTCTTCTGCCATGGTTACATAAATCCTTTACATTGCTTTTTCGTTATATGGTATGATTTACTGATTATATGATGATGATTTTCGTTATATGGTATGGTTTTGTCTCCATTTTTATTTTTCAGTTTTTTAAATAGCGCAGGAGCTGGAACTTATCTCATTATATACCATGTTTTTTCTGACCCAATGAAAAGCCTGATTTATATCAGTTTGGAGGTTTGCTATGTCCTCTATGCTATCTGCTCTCATAAAAATCCTAGTGTCACCTTCAAAGGAGGATAAAGTACTATGGTTTGTGTTCTTGTCTATGTCTCATATGAGAATGAGAGAGTACTAGAGCAAGCACAGTACCCTGAGGGACTGAGGTTTTCACAGTTGATAGTTCGGACTTTACTTTGTTGACTATTACACAATGAATTTTGTTAATAAATAAAAAATGTAGATACATGTTCCTATTTTTCCTATGATTCTTTTGAACGCATTTTGTGTACAATAACACCATGGTCAAATTTGTCGAAAGTTTTTGCGAAATCTGCAAATAACGTCAGGGTTTTGTTCATCTTCGGAAGGAGCTTTGCTCGTCTTCAGGGTTTTGTGTATCTTCCGTGGCATCTAAGCCCATGTCATAGTGGTCCAGCAATTGTGATAGGGCGTTCTTGCCTGTTCTGAAACCATGTTGTCCAGGGTTATGTAGGTGCTGTGATTCCATTTGTTTTGTGTTCTTACTTTCTATTACTCTTTCAAAGATTTTTATGATGTGTGATATTAGTGCTATCGGCCTATAGTTCTGCCTTTATATAATAAGGGACGTTTGATAATGGTTTCTTTACGCTTGATGCGTCTGTTTAAGTAGGTGCGTAGGAGCTAGGTGAGTTATGGGGAGCATTATGCTGCAGAAGTTGGCCTCGGAGACTTCAATAAACCTAACACTTCTTGTCCTCGACAATGAGAATCCATTGTTCATGATATAATTCAAGAAGGTTATTGTTTTGTCATTCTATTGCCAGGTTTTCAGCATTTATTTGACTTTTAGCATCTTGATAACTTTGTCCTTTTATCCCTCCAGAGTACACTTGCCTTAGCAACAATTGCTCTTCAGATACCTGTTTCTCCATGCGAGAAAAAGGATACATTTACCCCATGACCCAACCAACCCAAACTTTGTACTTTTTACTGAGATATAAGAAACAAACCAAAATATATAATAGACTTCTAAAACTAAAGATGTATAAATTCAAATGTCAAATTAATTGAAAACATAAAATATGTAAAAACTAACCTGTAGCTGCAGCAGCTTCGCTGCCCTTCTCGTTGACCTCCACGAAGGCTTTGTGCAACACATGAGTAACATACAGGTCGTTGACGCCTGTGATCCCTATTAAGTTGCAGTTGTCTCGAGAAAACAAGTCCCTAATTCCCATCTGGAGAAAAACAGATTTTATCAATGTAACTTTGAATGCTGAACATAATTCTATAAATGCATTTAATGTATAAATTTTTTCACAACTTTATAAGACAGCCTTTTATATTAAACTAACTGTACCCAGCAACAGCCACCTTCCCCTGTCCCTCTGTCCACCCCACCATTCCCCCCTCTCCCCCGTCCCCTCGTCCTTCTAACCATTCCCCAATTCCCCATCCCCTTGTCCTCCCCACCATTTCCCCTCCTGCTTTCCCTCGTCCTCCCCACCATCCCCAACTCCCCTGTCCCCACCATTCCCCACTCCCCCATCCCCTAGTCTTCCCCCACCATCCCCCACTCCTGCCCCTCGTCCTCCCCACCCCTGTCCCCTCGTTCTCCCTACCATTACCTTCTCCCCACCATCCCCCACTCCCCTCGTCCTCCCCACCATTCCTCACTCCCCTGTCCATGTCTATCCCACCGTTCTCCACTCCCCCATCCTTTCGTCCTCCCCATGATTCCTCACCATTCCTCACTCCCTCGTCAAATGTGTTCCCAAATGATCTGATGTTCCCATCACTGAAAAATAAGAACAGTTAAAAATACGAATTGAAAAAAATTAAAAAATAACAAAATAAACAATACTCACGAAATGAATGGTATGGTAAACAACACAGCTGAATTCCAACGCAATGTCACACAAAATAATTAAACTAAAATAAAATAAATCAAAATCTATGAAAATTCCATTTATCAATGCAATCGGAAACGTTGAAATGGAATGTACAAATCCACAAGGGCCGTGACGAGGATTCGAACCTGCGTCCGAGAGCATCCCAGACACTTCCTTAATTGACTGAGCTACAACATGGTAAAAGGAGTTTAAACCAGGAGTTTCAAAGGAGTTGAAAAAGGAGTGGATTTGTTCATTTAATGCATCACGCAATTGTGATTTCTGTGTGTAATGAAGGAAGGGCGAAGAGGGAGAACGGCCTATTGACATAGCTCGAATGCATGGGGGGAGTTGTGTAAAACCCTGGTTTGTGCCTCGGAGAGGCTGCAGGATCCAGTAAGTTCAGTAGAACTTCGGTTTCAACTCCTTTTACCATGTCGTAGCTCAATCGATTAAGGCAGCGTCTGGGATGCTCTCGGACGCAAGTTCGAATCCTCGTCACAGCCCTTTTGGATTTGTTCATTTGATGCATCACGCAATTGTGATTTCTGTGTGTAATGAAGGAAGGGCGAAGAGGGAGAACCACCTATTGACATAGCTCGAGTGCATAGGGGAAGTTGTGTAAAACCCTGGCTTGTGCCTCGGAGAGGCTGCAGGATCCAGTAAGTTCAGTAGAACTTCAGTAGATTAGCCAAGGACTGAGAGGATGTCCATGTAATATTTTATATTCCATTCTGGTAGAATTGTGGTAATTATTTCATTGCTGATCGTCCGTGGGACGGAGTGATATTATTCCATGTGTAATCTTGCAGGTGTGGAATTCCAGTACTGAGCGCTCAGGTTAGTGTCAGTGTGTAACGTCAGAGATTTTTGGCAATTGATTATTGTGGAGAAATACCAGATTGTGGTGTTAATATAATTTCTTGTTTTGTGCTCAGGGGCCATAACAAGTGATAGATATATATATATATATATAATATATATATATATATATATATATATATATATATATATATATAAATATAAATATAAATATATATATATATATATATATATATATATAAATATAAATATAAATATAAATATATATATATATATATATATATATATATATATATATATATATAAATATATATATATATATATATATATATATATATATATATATATATATATAAATATATATATAAATAAATATATATAAATAAATATATATAAATAAATATATATAAATATATATATATATATATATATATATATATATATATATAATATATATATATATATATAAATATATATATATATATATATATATATATATATATATATATAAATATAAATATATATATATATATAAATATAAATATATATATATATATATATATATATATATATATATATATATATATATATATATATATATATATATATATATAAATATATATATATATATATATATATATATATATAAATATAAATATATATATATATATATATATATATATATATATATATATATATATAATATAAATATATATATATATATATATATATATATATATATATATATATATATATATATATTGTGGTTGCAATACTGACGTAATTTTGGTAGAATTGTGGTGAGTGACGAGGCTGTCGGGAGTGACAGCCATCGCTCTGTCGAGTAACGTAATTCTCGGGAGTGTTTATCGGCCTGCGGGATCGATAAATCACTCACCCAAGTGATTAAGAAGTGCGAGATCTTCTTAATGTTCCCATTAACGTTGGATAGCTGTAGGCTACATGTGTCAGCAGTAATTATTCATATATAATAGTAGTGTCACGGTGCCCAGTGTTATTGTGTTATTTACTGTGTGGTGATTGCAATGTCTGGACCTATGTTCTTAGTGATAATTAGAGCACTGGGGTCATTTGCAACAGTAAGTGTTGTGCAGTGTTCTAATACTTGGACATTAGAGTACTTGCCGTGTGTGTTATTGCAAAGGGGTTGTTACTGATGGTGATTGTTGCTAGTGTTGAGCAATCACCGTATGTGATTGCAGTTCAGTTCGGCATTGTGGGGCAGTGTTCTACAGGGTTCATGTCCTGTATGTTATTTTATTAGGTTTCTGCAGTATTGTCATTGCAACCGGATTGTAACGTAAATCACCGATTTGTTGTTTTATGATTTATCATTGTCGTGGGTGAACTCTGTCGAGAAGAGTACTTGGGTATACATATATTCTCCTGTTATCTGGTAGGACATCGAAGTCCAGTATTCATTGAGGTGATTGCGAGGGAATTAATATAACGTAACCAAGGGAACGCCCATTGCTTTAAGAGAATTTATTCTTTAACAATTTTAGTAACGTAGAATACGTTTGGGTTCATTTACTTTTCTGCAAGAAGCTACGGTAGTCTCAGGGTAGCCTAGTGTTACGGCCACAATGGGTCGCAACCGGGTTCTTTGCTGGTGGAACTAAAGTTCTGGTATCCGGCCCCAAGTTAGTAGTGGCTTTCAAGGAGTGAGCTCGGTAATGCAAGTAAAACACAACACACTTCATCAATATATTCACATATAATCACTTTCCCATCACCTTATATATAATCCTAAAGGAAGTATTACTACACTTAATATATACACAAGTGTATATATTTAGTGTCTCTCATGCGACACTAAGCACTCTTCGATGCAGTCTTGTGAGCTTTCGTGTTTCCTCAACACACAGTACCGTCCTCAACCAATATTGGGAAACACCAACGAGTCTACCCTAGCCACGGGCCAGCCTATACACAGTCTCACTAGGTGCTTCCTCGTGAACCCCCACAATCACTCTCCAGCCTGGTGCTGGCAGAGAACATCAGCCTCGCGCTGCTGGATTAATGAAGCAGAAGGTTTTTTGGAATTAATTGACGATTGCTTTCTTAGGCAACACATTAAGGAACCAATGCATGAAAATAATATTTTAGACTTAGTATTAACTAACAGGGAGACGCAAATTAATGACATCGAAATAGGGAGTGAGCTAGGGAATAATGATCACAAAGAAGTCAGATACAGTATAGATTGGAATAGATTTGTAGGAGAAAATTATGTTAAAGTGCCAGATTTTCGAAAAGCTGATTTTAATGGCCTAAGAATTTTTTGGGTAAAATAGATTGGAATGTTCTAGCCATGGGTTGTGGGCCAGTCTTGGAGCGAGAAGTGAACTCAGTGATGGGTGATATAAAAAGGGATTTCGATGTGGATTCAAAATGTAACTTATTTAAAAATATTCTAAGCTAAGCACAGGAGCGTAGTATACCATACAAATTGAACAGATCAAAATAATAATAATGACCTGAAATGGATAACAAGGGATCCGAAGAACTTTATAGGTAGAAAGGGAGCTTGGTACAAAAGGATTAGGAATGGGGAAGTCAGTTTAGAACAAAAATTCGTCCAACTGGTTAGAAATGTTAAAAAGGAGATAAGGACAAAAAACTTTGAAGTTCGCATAGCAGGGCAATCAAAGACAAATTTTAAAGTTTTTTTTCAGTTATATCGAAGCCGCCTCATAAATAATAAATAAATAATTATAGCCTCTGTCTTAAATTGATAACATATAAATTCACTATATGTCTAGCCTTTCTCCTCACATTATTTCTCGCCTCATACACTTAACATTTAATTCACATTTCCAAAGAACGGGGAAATGGGAGGGCAAATTTATCTACCTTAATATTCGCTCCTAATAATCGCAGAAGTAGTTGCGAAGTGTAGCTCCTCCAGGCCTCCACGATGCTGAGGTCCTCTCCTCTCCATTGCTCCTCTCTATTGATTCCTCTCTCTGTATTCCCCACGAGTGGTCTCCTCTCAGGTAGGCTGCTTCCTACCACCGAGTTCCTCTCTTGGTCAGCCAGGAGGCAGCAAATGTCGCCTTCCTTTCTGGTGTTCTCACACTGGGTTAATGGTCCTCTTATCTTCTACCGTAGACGTATAGTACAACTGCTTCTCCCCAGGAGTTGTTGTGACTGCTACGCTGGACCAGGACTTAGTCACCCAAGCTCCTCTACGCAGCTCCTCACAGCTGGATACAGCCCGCGGGTTGCACTACAACCCCCTAGCGCCGCCTCTCAAGACACTTGGAACTTCACTGTCGTTGAACCCCTTTCACTGACCAGCTCCTCCTCCTGACTCTTTCGCTCCTCCTCAGTGTCACTCGAGAACTGCTCGAGAATTCGTCCTTCTGGAGGTCAAACTCTCTCCATAACTACGGACCGCCGAGCTTCGCATCTGCTCGACTTCACTCCAGGTGGCAAGTGACAACAGATTTCCCGCGCCTCTACAGGGGCGCCTGACGTCACGCTAGGTCACGGCTGGG